TCCATTCCCAAGGTCTGTCCTTAAGTCAAATTTGTATGTAAGCCAGAACAGTATTAATGTAAATTTGGATAAGTAGTATTGTGTAATGAACTCAAATCACTGTATATTTTACTCAAATTGCGTATTTAACTTGAATTTCTATTTATTTATTTGTTTGTTTATTTATTTATTAAATTTTTCAACCACCCATCTCCCCCCAATTTTGCTACAATAGGCTCCATTCTTAACTATGAGTTGTCTGTAACCTGGGCATTCTTAACCCAAGGACTACCTGTACACCAAAAGCACTTTACATACAAAAATGTGCAAGTTACACATACCAGTAATTTCACTATATGCATATAGTTGCTGGGAAATCATTTGAAAACGCATCAGAACTAACATGTACAGTTATGTGACTTCAGGCATTTCTGAACAGCTGTTATATTTGTCATTTTAAGTAGTCTCTGACACAGAATAATCTGAAAATATAAATATGGGAAAAATTAATGACTTCGTAAATAATAAAATGCAAGGGCAATGACTATGTTACATATTGCCCAGGAAAATGTACTAGGGATATGAGTGCTAAGTGGTTTTTTTGTAGTCTGCAAAATTACAATGCTATTGCATTTAATTTAGTTTAAATACACCTACCAGAACCATAGATACATAATGAGGTTTGTGGCAGGATAGAAGTAGTACTGTTATACTTATGGATGACATATTTAGCCATTTTACAAATCACAGGTTTGCTCCTCAGCCATCTGAGGGTGACATGTGGTGCTCCAGGAGAGCCCATTTGTCATGTAATATTTTACGATTAAGCTTGATGTGTGAATGCATCCATAGCTGAAAGACTCTGATTTTCCCGTTTTTTAAAAAAGAGAAAGAGAGCTGTTGATCCTATAATCTCATTTTAGATTTTAAGAGAGAAAGAATTATGAAACAAAGCTACAAGAAATATACACCCACAAATATAAAGCTTCCGCAAATTAGTGCAATGAGGTATGGTTCCAGAAATTATATGCCAAAGTAAAGGATCACTGACAATCTTAGAGTCACTCTCTCAGCCCTAAGAAAAAAGACAATGGCAAACCACTTCCAAAAATCCTGCCAAGAAAACTACAGGGACTAGTCCTGACAGTTGCCAAGAGTCAACACTGACTGGAAGGCACCAAAAAAAAAAAAAAAAATCACAAACCAAAACTAATTATTAGGTAATTTATTTTGTTACTTATTTTTCTCAAGATAAAACAACACCAGTTTTAGTTAATGGATTTTCAAAATTCAGTTTCACTAAAATACAGTCATGAATGTGTTTTTTTTTTAAACCTTGGTAAGAATTCAGTAGAAATCCAGACATCACTGAAGTATTTATATTTAAGATAGGGCTAAATATGTTATGTAACTTCTAATATAACACAATTTAAAATAAGTTAAAGTAAAAAATTAAAATCAAAGCAAAATACAAAGAGCAATTATTTTTCCTATTGAAAATTACAAAAAACGAATGTCAATTTTGGAACTCCCCAAGTTATCTTTAATTAATATTATATAACTCAGATCATGAGGTGCAGTTAAAATAAGCTATAACTACTATTTTCTGCAAATGCACCATTGATTATATACATAAATACTTACTAAAAATTATTACTTCAAAGTTCATCTTAAGTTATATTTTGAGATTTGTGTGATATTGAACTTCTGAATTTAACTTTTTTAAATATAAATGATTATTTTTAAAAAAATACATACAGCATGTATTTATAGTTAGCAAGGTGTAATATTATAGACATTTATTTCAAATTACTATTAGGTATTTATAAGACTATAATTACATACATTTCAACATTTAAATTGACAATGTGGTAAAAAACTACTAAGTATCCCAAACAAAACTGATCAAAGAACTACACTGAAATTGAAAAAGAATTATAAATCTCTGGAAAGACAAGGGCTGGTGTTAAAAACTGTTCACCTTAAGCAACCGGCATTCAAAAATCCTAAAATAATTTATTATTTGTTCAGCCTTCTGTAAGATGAGATACAAATTATCACTCCTAGCTTCCTTTAGTGTCATCATCTCTGAGATTATTATATATATTATAGATGGATATATTATGAAACAGTACACTGATCAGCAAAATGATCTGCAATAATAAACTACTAAACACTGCAGAAATCCATTACAACAAGTAATATGCCTGCTAGGAGAACTGAAAATTAATTGATGAAGAAATGCAACATGAAGATTTATACAGCTTCCTACAAGTAAGATAGCAACATGCCTAGTAGTAGAGGAAAAACAAAAATAAGCCTCTTCGCCTCTTGCAAAAAATAGTGCATTAATAACAAAAATGATAGTATAAACCATATTTTACCACAATTGATGAAGAATAAACATGTCAACCTGTATCATCCTTCCTCAATCTGATGCACTACCCACAAGTCCCCATATTTACCCCTCCAACCTATCTGCTATTCATAAACACAGCCCACCAGCATTCTCCCCAATTAGCCCCTGACCTCATATATGCCATTTACTACTGATAATGCTCTTTAACTTTTTCTGACCATGAAGGACATGGATGCTTAGTGGCAGTGTGTTTTCTTAAAAGCTAAATTGTCACTGAGCTTCAACTATGATTACCCGTAGTATTAAGCCTGGAATTACAATGACCGGAGCATCCCATCTGCATAGTGGTGGCAGGGTCTGGGAGTTATAGTCCAACACAACTGGAGAGAGGGGATGGAGAAGCCTACCCAGTTACCTCACACTATATTATATCGTTTAAACCCAACTAATCCAGCTCTCAACCGTCTCCACACCCTGCTAGCAAACGCTGCGTTTGGGGCTTCCTGCTTCTTCTCGCAACCATCTCCTCCATTGTTGTTGCTGCTACTACTCTTTCTGCCCTGTGCCTCTTAAGCCCAGCCCCTGCCTTCTGTCAGCAGCCACCGCCTCCTAGCCCAGGCTGGATCAGAGGCTTCTCCACCTACAAACTTGCAGCAGCCAGGAACGCAAAACGGCAGCTCGCACGCGGAAAAACACATTCCTCCACGACCACCACCTCTCCAGCCCTTTCCACCTACACTCCGCCCACCACCTGAATTTCAGCCCGGGGTCTCACTTGCAGCCGCCGCTTCTCCCCGCTGGCCCGACCTTTTCCGCATCAACCCGGACTCCACCTCGGGGCACAGGTGCAGACCCTCCCCCTCCAAAAGCAGAAAGGCCCCGCCGTCCCTTTCTCTCCCCCTTTCCCCACCCCCTGCCTGGCTTTCGCTCCCTTACAGCCCGAAGATCGCCCACCTCCCTTTTTTGCTCCTGGCCCTAGAGGGGAGCCGCGGGCAGCCGCATCCGTCTAACCTTTCCAGCCCATCCGAGGGCCAACCCCATTGTCTCCTTTCACTCCAGGCCCAGCCTTGGAGACCCTCCCAGCACCCACGAACCGCTCGCTCCCCGCGCCCCCGCGGCTTCCCCTCCGTGCTCGCCTGAGCTTCGCAACCGAGGTCTGGCTCCAGTTCGGCCGTGTCGCCCCAGACATTCCTCCGCTCGGCAACTCGGGCCCAAACTCTCCCTCTCGTCGGCTCTCTCCTGCAATCGCTTCTCGTCCCCGACTCCCCTCCCGTCCTCCCCAAGCTGCTAATCCGCCAGACTCGCCTCGCCTCGCTTCCGCGAGTCCTCCCGCCCCCTGCCTGCCTCCAAACAGCCCAGCCCTTTCAACAGCCTTACCCCAGACTGCCTGCTCCAGTGTTTCCTCCCTGCCTCGCTCGCTAGCCCCACATTCCAGCCGCAGCCGGAGAGCTACTCCCTTCGGCGTACGCTCCTACCGCAGGCCTCTTCCCACTGCCCAACCCCTCCTTACCAAGGAGGCTCCGGTTTTTCCTGCCGGCCACCGTCACCGCGTATCAAGCCACTCGTCACGGGACTCCCTGCCCACAGACCTCCATGGAACCATAGAGAACGAGAGCAGCTGGCGAAACCGCGCGCCGGCAATACAAGCAGGGCGCCGCCATATTGGTTAGGGGCGGAAAAGGTTTAGTTGCTCGTGGCAACGGACGAGCACATCTGGGGAGATTACTAGAGGAAAACGTCAAAAGAGAAAGATTGGTGGCGGGTGGTAATGTACGTGTGAAGAAACCTTTTTCACTAGAAGAAGTGGCAAACATGGATAGTAATAATAAATATTTGTCGACTGTAGCCTGAAGATCAACCTGATGCCAAAATACTGCTATTTTCTCCCTTGGATCCCCCTGAAAAGGAACATTTGTCGCACAAAGCCGCGAAGATCGTTGTGCCAAATGCAAGCTAATAGCGCCCTCGGCTCGCGCTAGAAAAGGCCAGGCCAGGTCAGGGAGTCCTCCCTCCTCCCGTGCCCGTCGGCTGGCATCGTCCGCTTTGGTAGGACCGGGGAGCCGAGCCCAAGGCTCTTGAGCGCCATGTTAGCCGGAGCGAGCAGCACCGCTCCGCCTTGATTCTGCGTTTAGCTTTCGCTCGCGGCAGCGCCCTTAAAAGAGGTGGGCGCCAGAGCCGCTGGGGTCAGCCCGCATCGGGCCGTGCCTCTCCGAGCTCGTAGGCTCTCCCAATCGAATATGACTCCTATAACATTTCTCTTTATATGCGTTTCATCGCCAGAACATCTAGGGAGGCCACAAGCACTATTTTATCAGAGTTTCTCGTCATATTTGTTTTTTATACGAATGCTTTGTATGCATGGATTTTCTTAATACAGGACTGTAATAATAATCACCACCGTCACGTACCGTTTCAAGACTCCTTAAGAAATAAACGAAGTGGGAAAGGAAATTAGTTGTACCTTCATTGATTTTCAGAATGTGCATAGTAAAGTGAATAATCTCGTATTGTATATGCTGGTCTATGGCCAAAATAAAGATTTCTTCTCGGATTGTGAAACGTTTTGCCCAAATATGGAGTTGAAGGTTGGTTGTTGAATGCAACAAAAGCAATATGTGACAGAAGTAAAGCATGCGTGAGAATTGAATATTTAGTGTATGGTAAACACTGAGCAGGGAATAAACAAGGTTGGGTAATATTATCTTGGCTGTTAAAAGGAATTATGGACAAGTGTACAGGAATGCTTGTAGTGTTAGAGGTATCTACTTTGTGGTAGAGATTGTTACATAGATTGTATGATACAACAAGAATTCTGAATCTGAAAGATAATGTATCAAAAACCAGTTCAATTATGTTTCATGGAAAAGGGTAAGTTACACATAAATGGTGGATAAGCAGAACAAGTAGTGTGTGTGTATTTGGTAGAATGCTTACTATAGGTTGGAAAGTAGATGGCAAAATTGTAAGATGTGCACATGATGAGATAAGGGATAATATGCAGTCTGTTGTGAAAAATGAATGCTGAAAGAAGAAAATATGACTGTGTATAACAGTGCTTTAGCCCACTTCATTATGCGGAAGTGAGAGTTCAGTATGTCAGGGCATACATAAAAGTATGTTGAATATACTGGAAATGGGAAATGTAAGAAATATGCTCAGATAACAAGAGAGACATACAGAATGATGATTCAAGAATGAATGGATTGAATACAAACATGATTAACCAGTCCAAAATAAATTATGCTGAGGTGTTTAGATCATACAGAGAGAATGAAGACTGAATCACAAAACAAATATGTGATGGAAAAAGTTGTATTTCAGAAGATGGATTGAATACAAACATGAAGATCCTCAAAAAGAGAAGGATGAAAAGTTCTAAGAGCAAAGGGTAATATATGAAGCAGTTCTGGACATGGTGGATAGAAACTTATGGAGAGGTACAGTTAATAGTGTTTGTATAAAGTAGATTTGCTGTATTTCCTTTTAAAAAAAAATGCTTTATTTCTTTGGCTTAATATTTCTTACTATCTTTCTTCACATTGCATAACAGTCTCTGTCCTGAAAAGGAATGTGATAGGGATGTATGTATGGACATAGAAAAATACATTTTTAAAATATAACTTCCCAAATTATGTTAGTCTAATCTTTAATGAAATCAACAAGTCCCAAACCTTAATTTTGACTGGTTTTAACTGAATATCTCCTTTGTAGACTCCTAAAGGCAATGGAGTTACAAATAATTGGCAACCCTATTTTTGTATAGGTCTCAATTCAGTCATCTACTGTTATTCTGATAACTTGTCCTCTGGTTAACATCTGGAGCAAGATAAGTCCTGAAGCTATTCTTTGTGCTTACAATTTTCATTAATGTACTTGCCCCCATCTAATGCAAGGTTTAAAAAACTGCATGCCTATTATAACTTTTATTGTGGTTCCTGTTTGTTTCTGATAAAAACAGCTATTATTTTTATTATTTATTAGATTTATATCCTGACTTTTCACCAGAAGCTAAAAACAGCGTGCACAGAATTCTTTATTCCAGTTTTTCCCCACAACGACTCTTAGATTGGGCTCACAGAAAACAGTTAGCCCAAAGTCATGGTGAGCTTCCATGACTGTGGACTTGAATCTAGATCTTACTGGTCCTACTACAACACTTTAAACACAACTCATCTGCTATCATTGTAATTAATTCATGACAAATATTACAAAAAATATGTCCACATAATTGTGAGGTGAATTCCTAATTTAATGAAACGATATGTTTTAAAATAAAACAAATATGAAACATAAGCTTCATCACAAAGAAATCACCAAATATCTTAAACTACCACATAGGAATGTGATAGTTTCCCCCTTACCTGAAATAATTTTCTAAGACAAGCCATGGCTTAAGTCTAGACTGCCTATGGGATCATGTCCCCAGAATAAAACTGGGTTTCCCCCACCTTGACAGATTAAAAGAAACTTGGAAACAGTTTTTTTCAATAGCTTTCCCATCCCTATGGATATGCCAATGCCTGAAATTTGTACGGCTCCCACACTCCTATCTTTCCTTAGAGTAGCAAAGGCTTTATTCCTTAGAAGAACATCTGGAGATTAGGAGGCAAGATGTAGATTGATTTGAACCCTCATATAAATTTTTGCCAATTCTTATTCTAGTTATGTTATGAAGACAATTGTTATTTTAGGAGTTATTTGGAATTTCTGGAGTTTATGCAGGATACAAATCTTAATATATAACAGCAGTAAAAACAATGTTAACAAGGACTGCTAAACTGCAATTATAAACACACTTCTGATAATCAGGCAGACTTAATCTTACGTAGATTTGTACAGAACTGCATAATTATTAACATTCCTGTGCTTAAATCATTTTTTAAAATAAAAAGAGAAAATGAAAATGGAGAAAACAATATGATCATGATGATGTGATTGTCACTTATTATTGTATACTATTTTGTGATCACCTGCTTGATTTGGAAGCTTGCATTATTCTTGAAAGTATCTGATGAACATACATAACTATTGTGAGGCCACAAGAGGGCAGGCTACTGAGAGAGAGACATCAGAGCTTGCCATATACAGTAGTACATTTTTAACCAAGACTCTTATTACATGGGGGGGGGGGGGGAAGTATATAAGGAATGTAAAATAACTATGTTTTCCTGCCTGCAGAGTACGTCAAATGGTTTAGAGTCATTTAGAAAGCATTTTACAAATTAGGGCTTTGGATAAAGCCAGAAGGAATTGCTAATTCTGGGAGTTCTTGATGTTTGAGAATGGATAGATGTAAATATCTCCTAACCATAATCTTTGAAGAAGTGTACTCTTATTATTCAGAAATGTAAATAAGCTATATCAAATTCACTTTTAATAAATAAATAATTTGCACAAATGGATATATACATATACCTGAAAATATATCTTTCTTTTAACATTCCATTTTTTCCCTTCCATTTGAAAAAAAAAACAACTTCATTTTCTAGAATCAAGCATATAAGCGGCTATCTTCCAAGGAACAACAATTTTATTATACACTGCCACAATATTGTTCCAGGAGTCTTCTGTGTAGTAAGTGGCAGCTCTTCAACAGTATCTGGGTGTAGCTTGTATGTGCATGTATGTGTGTATGCTTGTGTATCCCTGCGTTGTGTGTGTGTGCAGGGCAAGAAAAAATAAATGTTTCATCAACTATGATCAAATGTAAAACATTATTAACTATTCATGCTAATGTATTAGGACCCAATTCCTTAAAAGATCACTTCTTCCAATACCACCCAACATGTACACTAAAATCAGAGAGGATCTGCTTAGTTTCCCATAGATTTGTACATGTGGTCAGCGCGACAGTCTCAGTTACAGTATCTCATTATGGAATTCTCTCTTAAGAGAACTTTGACACAGTTCCATCTTTTTTAAGAAAACGACTGAAAATGTGCTGTTTATCCAGACATTTGTAGATTAAGATTGTCAGTTACTGTACATTTTCTCCTCTAATACTTTTAATCTATTAAAAAAAAATCCTTATTTTTTGTTTCTGTTGTTTTTAACTATTGTTGGTTTAATTGTATGGTTTTATTTAGGATTCTTATTGTTGTCTTGTAAACCACTCTGCCTTCTTCTAGGGCAATATAGAAATAAAATAATAATACATGCCAGTTATTGCCCTTTTACATAAAAAGTGTTCATTATGCATATAGTTCACCAATTCAGTATTTCCGGTTTTATCTGATAAATGCAGAATCTCAGAGGCTTATTTAAACAGATTTATAGACATCATGCAGAAGAGGATTATGATGCAATATCTTTGCACGTCTTCGTTACTATTACAGTATTTTTGAGAAGATAATTCTTTTTTCTCAGTAAATAGTAGATATAAGATAAATTCATTCAAGATGCCTAAATTCATTCATGCTGAGGATGAACAGGCAATGTATGTTCTTGGTCAGGTTACCTCTAAATTCATGGCAATGTATATGCAAGATTTTGTGATAATTCAGCTTTCCAGAAAATGTAGTTTTCTGCTGAAGCATCCTATTTCAAGGTACCTAAAATTGTAGTGTCCATTGAGCATTTCAGTAAAAGTACAGCAGAAAGCACTACAACCACAGAAGTTATACGCATAACATATAAGAC